GGCCAGTTATCTCAGCATCTCATCTCATCTGTAGGTTTTCATCATTACCTCTGGAGAGCAGCTGCGGCTCAACTGGAGCTACGATCTGCCTTCTCTGTAAAAACAAACTGACTGGGGAATGTTTAGAACTGCAACGACATTAAAATTTGTAGAAAATATTGAGGTTGATGTTGTGCAATAATTACTCAGACCTATGCGGAATTGTAAAACAATAAATTTATCTCAATTATCTCAATTAATCGCATGCTGAATTAAAATAAGTCCGATTGTTTCAATTTTTGCTCACAGGGACTTGATATCTTGTTTTCTTAATTTATTTTGGATATTTAAAATGTTTTCCACTTACACTGTTGTTGTTTTTTCCTTTTTTGTAGAAATGAAAACATTTTTTTACGTTTGAGAGTTTACTTGCACTTTTATACTGTACCAAAATGACAGTATTATAACTTGTAGCAAAGATTTCTGGGGCAACTTATCGTCCAGCAACATTTGGTAACGTCACACACCTTATGTGTGCCACACACATAACGTTCGCTTGCAAAGCCTTTTCATCAGTTCTCCTACTTAACTTCTCTCTGTTGCTCCTCAACTCCTTCACCGCCTGTCTCTCTTCCCCTCCCTGCGTCACGCCGCCCCTTGAGCACCACAGCAACCTTCACCGAGGGATCGGTTGCCAGGAGACAGGCTTCTCGCCCCATTGTACGCCGACAAAAAGGTGGATGGGGTGGGTGGCGGGTTTACAATCAGCAGGCCCGCGGAGAGTCGGAGGCCAGGGGACTCTCGCACTCCACAATCACGATTGTGTTAAAGAGGAGGAGGGCTGGCGGGAAGGGCAGGAAGAGGCCACTGATTGAGTGAGCGCAGACTGGAGCAATGCTGACACCCCCCGACCCCGAATTCCTCGAGCTTACTCCAGATCTCCCAGTAATCGCGCTGGGTGTGCTGCGTCACGGGAGGATGGAGATTGGAGGCAGTGGGCGACTCGCAGAAACCCAGCCAGACGGGATTAGTTATTATAACAAACTTTTTAATTAGGCAACACGGCTCCTCCCCCGCTGCCCTGCAACCTCACCACCCGGCTCCTGCAGAGTAAAGACACACAAACACACACTGGCATGCATCTTAATTTAACTACAGACACTAGGCTCATGGAAATAAATGAGTGTCTGCTTTGCGTGCATGGCTGCATTTACCAGCAATCCAATTTTCATTTCATTTTCTTGTTTTCCTTGGACTAAGATGATGGCCTTTCTTATCAATCCATTATATTCACTTAAAGCTAGAAGGCCAGTTTACTTTTGCCCCGGTGCCATTACTCTAAATAACGATCGCATTCACCCTAAATAAACTAATGATTACATGTAGCAGCCTCACACCGCAGCGTTCTTCATTCATCATTGATGCCTCTGAGGAACATCCTGCAGGGTTCACACACTGTACAGAGAAAGTGCTGCAGATAGTTACTGATTAACACCCTGAGCTAATTTCTGTTTGCATGTCAAAAGGTTTGATTATGGTCTTGTTTTTTTTTTTGTTTTTTTTACCAGAAGATCTCAGTGGTAGGTTAGGTAATTAAAAACAGTATTTTTTTTGTTTGGATTTCTGTAGTTGCTTTGTTATTGTTGTTGGTTTTGAAAAATGTCAGAATACAAACTTTCTGTCAGAATACAAACTGAATTAATTCTTGGAATTAATTCAGTTTTTTTTAAAAGTTTTTTTTATGTTCCACTCATTTTTTTTCTCCATTCTCTTTACATGTGTAACTTGTGTGTGTTAATGCTGGAAAAAACAGCAGCAGCATTTTTTGGGGGAAATGAATGTTATCATCCAATTATTAGTCGGCCACCTGTTAGAGAAATTAATATTGTACATTTTATAGTCATAAATGTTTATAATTGAAGTCGCAAGATTGAATGTTTTTCAATCATTATTGTACATTATACTAAAGGTATGCTAATTTATTGAAGTTTTATTTGCCATGCTCATATTTGAGTCAAATGTACCAAACTGTTTTGCTCCTCAAGCCAGCTATTTAGGCATCCAATATGACTAAAGTTTAGCCATTTTGTAAAGAAAAAGCTGTCAAACGTTTCTCCTCTATATGCCTAGAAGTGGAGCAGTAATCACCTTACCAGTCATTACATTGACAGTGATTCTACAAGCCTTGCTTCATCTTCTATGGTACTTTGTGCTGGTCCTTCACATTTAATTCAATAGAAAAAAAGGGACATGGATACTTTTACAAGGTAATGTAGTTATTTAAGTTTTTAAGTTACCAAAACGTGATCTTTGATGTGTGAGTGCCCGAAGCTGCAGACTTTTTCAGTTTTTGGTTTCCGAATGAAGCTGAGTTCCAACCTAGACAAATAGTTTATGAACCCGGGGTGTCACAGATTTAACAGATGTATCAGACTGTTCCCTTTATTACCTGCCAGAAATCAATCACTTTAGTCTACTGTTCCAGCTGAATGCGTTCTTCTTCTTCTTCTTTCCTCACAATACAATCTTCTCCGCTTTTGAAGCAACTGTGAATAACGCCCCAGCTCCTCGTAGCGCATGATGAATTGACACAGCTTTCCTTCATGCGGATGACAAGCCGAATATCCGTTTTGACATTGATAGACACATATCTGCTTTTTTTCCCCCTCCATTTTACTCCTCCTTTCCTGAGCCCCCGCTGAAGGCAATGGATCACTCCCCAGTCAAGGGCGTCTGTCAGAATCTGTGGGCTCAAACGACCAGCTGCAGCTCCGGCAGTCGGAAAATGAAACCACCGTGTCACACGCTTACAGGCTCTGAAATTCAGCTTTAGTGGATGTGACTGGGATTGCTTCATGTTGTGCATCTCATTTAGTTGTGTGTCGATGCTCAGAGTACGGTTCTGAAGTTGAAATGGAGCAAATAGAGATAAATCTGCGACTGTTTCCTGTGAGCCCAAATTTTCATCAGTAGAATGATCCTTATCCTTTCAGCTTCTTCATCAAGAAATGATGGATTGACTTAAAACATGTTTTTTTTTTTAAACACCCATAAATGATCTGAATTACAAATTCATTTGATAACTCTGCACCAGTAAAGCGCATAAGCTTGATGAAACACAAATTTATTCATTCAGTACTATTTGGAGTATAAGAGCCAATGTAAGAAAAAGAAACTGACAGAAAAAAATAGATTGATGATCTTGGTCAAACATGTAAAAATAAACTTTCTTTCAAATGGTTTAAGTGCATCAAGGAATTCTAAATATAATGTAAAATAAACAATAAAGCATTACATTGCTCTGAGCATGAAGCACAGAATTAGACTGAATAGATCAGCCCCTATGGATCAGGGACATCATAACCGAGAATATCTGACGCATATACTAATATTTGACTGTGCATCTCTATAGAGTATTTAAAATGTGGCATTTGTTTGCCTATGAATTGCATGACCGACCATGAAAGGAAGCATGGCTTTTCATTCGCCATGGTTATGAAAGCATCGACCATCATCATACAAATTGTCAAAAAAAAATTGTGATGATTTATTATCGCAATAAATAAAAAAAAAAATGTCAAGAAATTGTCCCAACAAATTATTTCGGTAAATGATAATATTCTCATTTTGAGAGCATCTGGAACTGATGTAATTTCCATAAAGAAATACAAATTTCCCTCTTCCCTGATTGTCTTTTCACACGACAGTAGACTCTTTCCGTCAGTGGGAAGGCACTTAACTGTAACGCTGATGTAGCCAAAGGAAAATCCCATGTTTTATTTATTACACATAGAGCTTTTGGTATCAACAGAACAGTTTGATTATAGATATGTACTTAAAGAAATCTCCCCAACCCTATTTATTTATCGGTATGTGGGAGGTTGTCAAACGGATCTTAACACATTATGACAGCGTGTGACAGCTCTATTCTCTATGGGCTGCATTTCTGTCACAGCTGAAATCTCCCATAGAACGAGATATTTTAGCCCATTTTGTATCTGGAGAAGAACATCTGCAGCTTCTTGTCATTTTTAATGGACCAGTTTCTCATTGTGTCATTTATTTCTGTTTTTTTTTTTGTTTTGTTTTTTGTTTTGTTTTTCCATACTGCGCAGTTATTTATTTTCTGAAAACATGTGGATATAATTACAGAGAATATGTACCTATTACTCAGCCAGAGATGAGAACTTGATCATTTTCCCTTAATCAGCAGATTCAATTCCAAAAGTCTGTTTTGTATGCATCAAAATGAGGAACTCTCATCTTCTGACTATAAATGAATCAGCTGACTGACTTCAGTTTGACTGTCATTTATACAAATCAGATAAAAACTTTAATAATGGGGGAAACTTTGTGAGTCTTTCATTTTCGACTTTGAAAATGAAAGAATAACAATCTTCTCATTCTATCAAGAACCTGTAGCACAGGATTTTTCTTCTATGCTTTCTACTCCTGAACAGGAAACCATAATTAATCCAGGCGAGGTTCCTCAAAAGGCTCGGTCTGTTTGACACAATGCAGTTTGAAAGCAAACCTCACCAGCAGAAAATGTAGCCTGTTGCTATTTTTGGTCCCAATCGAACTGTACCGGACCATCAGTCGTGAAACCACCCTTAATCTGTAAAATCCATTTCCTACTTTGTTGTTAAACAATGTCCTCCTTTTAATCTGAATAGTAATAAATAAATCTTACCCTAAAAGTTTGGTCTGAGTCCTATTTTCCAGTGCTGTGGATCCACTGATTATGACCATGACAGGCTCATAAACTGTGTTTATAATAGCATTAATAAATCAGGCTGATGTCAACAAGGCATCTGTTTGCAATGATACAGAGATATATAATGTTTTATGAAGTAAAGCAATCTCCATCACTACTACCCGACTATGGTATAAGACAAAATTCATCCCAGGCAGAGGAGAGTGTCCAGCAGATTTTACGTGCTTCAGGTGAAATATTGCTAAGTTTGTTGCTCGACATGTTACAGCTTTGACTTTGACGTTCTTTATCCCTCTCTGTCCAGCCTTGGTCTCAGCTCTACAGATCACATCTAGTCCGACTGCACCTGTAGAGAAGGCCAGCGGGCAGAGCGTGAAGCTGGACTGCCAGTTCTCCCTGAGCTCCTCAGACACTGGACCTCTGGACATAGAATGGAGTTTGCTGGCCTCCGACAACCAAATTAACGACCAAGTGGTACGTGACCATGTTTTTTTTATATATATATTTTGAGCTTTTTATTTGTCTTTGGTGGAATTCTTGATATTTCTACCATCATTTCTGACTTGAATAAAATAGAGCACAATTTATTGTTCTTCACTGTGTTTATACCATTTCATACCTATAGGACATGGTGACTGTGTGTAGCTATAGCTGAGGTTTTCTTCTTCTCTTTCTCTCTTTCTCCTGTGGCTTTAGTGACTGTTTTTCCTTCCAAAATTCTTTTATTCTCGTTAGTCAAAAATGGGTCAGTACATCGTCATTAGGTACCTCTGTTAATAACGCAGCCCTCTCTGTCTGCTGACCCAACAAGCCCCACTCTGACTGGAGAGACCTAAATCCTCCCCTGTTCACTGGTTTCTGATTTGAACTGATCCTTTCCAGTTAGGATTTACCTTCTCTTTCTTCCCCTCGACGAAACTAAGGCTTATTGTTTTTAAGTATCGTTTCACGCGCTTTGGTTTCACACGGCGTATGTTCCCGAGAATTTAAATATTTCCGACATCTCTCGGGGAACACATTTGTTCTCCTTGACCTGTTAGATTCCCACACGTTCTAGTAGCCTTTAACCAACACATAGTCACGCACGGACTAAATTCTTCGCAATTAGTGGCACATTAATTCCAAGTGGCTGTTTTAGTATATGTGACGGGGATAGAATTAGGCCAATGTGCTGCTGTGTCAGACAATGAAAGGAGAGTGAAAGTTTATAGCCGGAGGCTCCCAGATGCTCAGGAACCATGATGAACCTTTGCTCACATTAAAGGCGAGTAAAATCCAGGCTGGACTCAGCAGGGCAGTTTGCTACAACATGTGGGCTTGCCTACAATATCTCATATATCAGTATCTTTTTGTGGCTGGTGAGCCGGAGCTAATTTGTGGCGCTTTTGTCGGATGGAGTGAGAGATGCCTGGGATTCTGGAACCAACAGTCATTTGCATTTTTTTCTCACTGCCTGGCCGCGGACTCGCTAAAGGGAGAGTCTGTCCTGAATGTTTCCCACCACGGTGACGGCGACACACGGCCCATTATCAGACTCTCACGTTATTGCAACTTTGAGTAAAGTTGCCGTGGTTTCCAGGTCTGCTGTGTAAATAATGTAACATAATCATTGTCTTAATTGTTTTTTTGAACATTTATTTTACTTTTGAGTTTGATATGCAGACTGTTTCAGTTTCCAGAAATATACATATTACCTAATTTGTCCTTTTGCTTTAATTTGAGGAAAAATAAGGGAGGTGTGAAGTGTAAACGTGCTGATAAATCAGCTCAGATTTCCTTAATTTTGGGAGATTGGACAATAGTTAACCAATCTGATCCACTGATCTTATCTTCCTCCATAAAGGTATGAAAATCTGCCACTGTCATGATAGAGCTTTCACCGACACACAGGCTCACCAAGTCACGTCTGGACTGTTCACAATAGTCTCTGCAATGTAGCTTTGTTTCGTACACAGGGTCTGGGCTCTCGGCTTTTGAGAAAGAAGATTAACAACATCCAATTGGCACATTGCGTCATGGAAAACAGTAGCGATTGGGTAAAATTTAAAACTCCAGTCCACATCTCTAGATGTATCCGCAGGCGACATGAATACTTTTGAGGAACATTCAGATGCATTTATTTGATGTAGTGAGGAATTAAATATAGATTTTTTTTTTTTACGATTCTTCACCAGACAACTACAAAGATACCAAATGGCTTAAAAACCTCATGTATGGAAATTTCTACGTCGTTGTGCACAAAGGAAGCCGTCTGCAGAAATGTGTGTCGCTCTCTACCTGACTGCTTCATAAAAGCAAAATGGAGAATGTGGGGAGAGAGTAATCTAAGCACAGATCCCATTTAAATGGAATTAATGTGGAAAAAGGCACTTTGACATTTCCATTAGTCATTCTGCCTTACACAGCAGACTGGGCTAGATCCACAGGATCCTGAGCAGAAATCTTTATGAATAATTGTTGTGAATTGAAAATTTATTTTTGACTCAAATCATGGACTCAAAAATCAGAATCGAATTGAGATGGTGAAAGATTCCCAATCCAACATGTGGTGACTTTTCAGGCAAAGATAAAGTCAAAATCAGTAGGAAATTACAATCAGTGCACCCCTACTGAAGTTGTGTCACCATGTGCTCTATACAGGAGATAACACTTTTCCTTATATCTCATAGAAAAAATGTTAATTGTATGAATACTATGTTAGCATTTTTTTGAAACGGTGACTTGTTAAAAAAACAAATCACATATCTATTGGTACCAAGAACTGACCCAGGCCTTTTATTTATGAAACAGTTTTTTGTTTGCTGGTGGAAAATAGTGTAAGAGTTGAAGGATTTTAGGAGTTTCGGGGGGAAACAGGACATTGCTTTCACATGCTGATGGCCGTGTCTTTTTTTTTTCTTCCCCATAGAAGTTAATCTGTTAACCTTGAGCCTAATCAGAAGCAGAGATGTGAACTTCCAGGCTTGCAGGCTGACTCATTCAAATGAAAAGCCTCGGTGGGGAGCAGAGATAATGAAACGTTGCTCTCCCTGAGCCTGTTTGCAGTACACAGGTAACGCGGCTCTCTGCTTTGCCTCTCAAATAAGCACCGCCTCCACCTTTAACTCTCGTCGCAGACGCGTCACATGACGGTGATGTCATCCTAAAGCGGATCCGGTGAAGCCAAGGTTGAACTAATAACACTGTGCCGTGTTGTCTGTTGACAGGGAAGGGTCGGTTGCTACCGGTTATGAGCGTGGCGCTGGCTGCGCCGCTCTGCCGTCCTGACCCTGACTTGGCTCGCTTGCCTTCTCATTGGCCCGTTTCATATTCCTTTTTCCCAGACTCTCAAGGTTACTGTGCAGTTTTAGGAGCTCGAGGTGTCTGCGTGTGTAAGCACTCCCATCTGTTTGCTCACAAAGGGGCTAAGCTGGAGGGAGACCTCATCCAACCCACCTTGGGGCGTTTCCATTTCCTTTCTTTTGTGGTCTTGTCTCACATAATGTTATTCCTGCTGGGTTTGCTGTCCCAGTAAAGTTACTGGAATCTGCCTTCCTCCCCAGAGAGCAATGTGGAGTTTTAACAGAATTACCTGCTTTAATGGTTGAAAGTGTACAAGATGAGTCATGCACTTTCCAAGAGCTGTTGGCCTGATACTTTGGAGACTAGTGTTGCTGCAGCAAGTACGCAGCTGTCACCAGAGGAAATTCCAACTTAAAAACAAAATTTCTGCAATAATTTGAAGAAAAGGAAGATGAGAAATAATTTCTTTACATTGACGAGGATCAATCTGGTTTTCTATTAACGGTATCAGAATACAGAGCAAAGTAATAATTTAGTTAAACTGCTCTATTTAATGAAAGATGCATTGATTTAAAAACACTCGTTTTTGTAAATCTTTGCTCTTCCGATACCGGTTTTTGATTATTTGGATTTAAGAATATTTTTTTAAGATGCGTTTCGATTATAAAGTTGTGCAAATCTTTGTCGACATTCTGCTAACGTCCAAAAAAAACAAACAAACAAAATTTTGCAATCGCCGCCTAAGTCATTGAAAAAAATTCTTGAGAATTATACATTTTGAAATGCAGTGGAATAATTTTAGTCCAAATATCACCAGTTCCTAAATGGTCTCTGACGATCAGATGATCAGAAGCTAATTTCTATTATAAACCTGATGACTTTTCAAAGAAGTTGATATTTTGTGTTCTTAATACTGAAACTGTGGGAACATTGACGTTACTAAGTTGGTGCAAAATAATTTCTGAGATTTCATACAATTTAATTTAATATAATTTCATGTCTACCCCCCCTTTTTTTTTTTTTTTTTTAAGCAAAGTGATTTCTAGCTAGAGAAGAACTGCTGTAATGAAGCAGCAGTTTCAGGACATCGTCTCTTACTGGATGTACTTAATAAGTGTCTCTTGATTAAAATTAATCTTTCAGTCAGAAAAGAACATTTTGGATCATCCATGGATTATAATATCATATATACTACCCAGCATTCCTTGTGGTACTTTAGTTGTTCTCTTTTCTTTGCATCCTTAAAACAAATCCTACCTTCTGAAGCTGCAGGTTATAAACTCTGGCCTGCCAAGTGTTTCGAATCTGATCTTTAGAGAAACTGAATTATGTTTGAAAGAGTTGAGAAGGAAGAGAAGTGAGTGGATACAGTAAGCTCCTTACTGAGAGGACAGGCAGCGCAGAGTTGTTTTAAAGGAGAGAGATTCGTGGAAACTCTCCAGTCACACAACACACACACACACGGCCACACACACACACACACACAGCCACACACACACACACACATGCGCACACACCCGTGGTTAGTTTGATGGTGCTGAAAGCAGCTCAGGGTAGTGAACATCAGCCAGCGTTCCTGTATTCAGCAGGTGCTGCTTGTCTGTCTGTGTGAAGTTGCCAACTGGAGGAAACAAAGGCAGCGCTGTTGTTCCTGATTCTGTTCAAAATGAGTTTCTACACAAACACACACACACGTATGTATATATATATATATATATATATATATAAAGTTCTAGTTATTACCGGAGTACTGTTTGCAACTGTCTCACTGAGTGTTTATGTAGTGGAATGTTTTCTGTCCTTATTTGGTTCAGACTTCCATTATAGATTCATCATCCTGCTTCTTCATGCTCCTCACTCAGGGGTGTTGCTGTTCTGTCGATAGTGGCACAGAAAACCTTGTTGATCACTGTCTCCATGGAGACTTGCAAGAATATGATGGTGCGTGGAAAAGAGAATGGGAACCCTTTTCATTATGTGCTCTCCTTTCCCCTCATTTTGATGGTGATGTCTTCTTCCGACACCATGACTGTCGCAGGATTCCTATTAGCTTCACCTGACTGTGTGTGTGCTTTGTTGACTCTGCGGCTGTTGGTTTTTCTCCGCTGTAGTGGCTTTGTTTGTTCCACCTTCACTTTACTTGAGCAGAGAAAGGACATAGTGACACAGTGGCGGGTTGAGGACCACTCTAAGGTTGATCTCCGTCTGTTTCATTTGTTCTTGGCTGCTGTAATAAGCAAGGAATTTGTTGCATGAATTAAAAATTTCGTTGTGTTTCCTCGCACAATGACAATAAAGCAATTCCAATTCATAAATAGACCATCTCTCCTACTATTTTTTTTCTTATTGACAGATTTTATTTTCTTTGGTCAAAATTATGAGTAGGGATGCGTGATCCACTTTTTTCACTTCTGGCACGGATAACGTCATATTGTCCGATATGATCCGATGCAAAAAACAGTACTGAATTTACTTAAAACTTTTCTTTTTTTTTTTAAACACAGACATGTATGCAGTAAATTTGACATTTATTTGCTAACTGTGCACCGGTTCTTCCCACTTAAATACACCAAGATCTTCACAACCTTGGTCAAACATGTAAAAACAACACAACTGTAATTTGTTCAGTCAGTGTAAGCAGGAGCAGAACAGCAAACGTAAAACAAATAAAAGAGAACTTGGTGGGGACATGGGGAAAAATAAACTGTAGCAAGCCTTTCAAATAGTTCAGAAAATGCAGTGAGGAATTCTAAATTTAATGCAAAATAAATAATAAGAAATAACATAACTGATTATTTTTTTTCTGCGTCCAGGTGATTCTGTACTCGGGCGACCGGGTGTACGAGGATTATTACGAACCCATGAAGGGTCGAGTCCACTTCAACACACCCGATCCGAAGAGCGGCGACGCCTCCATCAACTTGACCGGGCTGAAGTCGACGGACACCGGCACCTACCAGTGCAAAGTAAAGAAGGCTCCCGGCATCAGCAGCAAGAAAATGCAGCTGATTGTCATGGGTGAGAACAATACGAACTCCTCTAGAGGTTCACAACCATTCATCATGGCCAGGAATGTCGTACTCATTTATTTTCTATCTGGTGAAATCATAGCACAACAATCTAATTACTTTTTAAAAATAATGAAAACTGAAATGACAAGTTTTTATTATTTACAGTGGGCTCTTCAAATGCTTTTTGTCAGCAAGCGTCTGCTGAATATTTAATCGCTTTTCCTTCAAAAGTGGAAGAGCTCTTCTAGATGAGTTGAATTCCTTTCCTTTTAACCTCGGGCATCTTTTTGAGACATTTGTTCAAAAATGTTATGCCCAAAATATCAGCAACCTCCACGGTTTATTTGAATTGTTCTGCTTTCAAAATGAGGTTCAGACTTTAGAGAACTAAAAATCAACACTCCTGTTACTCAGTGAAAAATGTAAAAAAAATTTAAAAATTCTTGATAAGAAAATGCACTTTGTGATGTGAATATTCCTTTGAAAGCGTGCAGTTGCTATGCAGAACATCGAGCAAACAAACCGACAATTTATTGTGCCAAAATTCATGGAAAAACAGTGAAGCTAAGAAGGTTTGGAGAGGTATCAGGTGATTAAAACCCAATCAAACCATCCAAATGGGCAACTTTGGCACAATTTAGTGTTTTGTGTGCCTTTTGAAATTTCTCAGGATTCTTTCCTAGATTCTTTTTTTCTCCACTTATAGTCATTCCAGCTAATTGTTTTGGGAACAAAATAAGAATCCAAGTGCCATTAAAAACATTTCTCCATTCACTCTCTGCTCTGTGTCAGATCATCAAAACCAATGAGAATACATGGGTTTTGTGTTGAATTTATCTATTACCATTATTATTATTTAGCTGTTATTTAACCAGGTGAACTCTTATTCACTTCTTCTTTACAAAACTCAGACATCACTCACCAATCACAGAACACATAGCTCCAATTCTTGATTACATAGCTCTAATTGAAAATGATTGTATCTCTAATGTGTTTTATTACAACTCTCACAATATGACTGATCGTTTTCTGTATGCAGAGTCATTTTGTTTTTCACTGGGCAGCCAACAGGAAGTAAAGACTACGCGCTCCGCTTTTCATCCACAGACGGAACTGGATGACACATCATAGTTGTATAAGTCAGATGATTTAGTCCCTAGGCAAACACGCTCTGTGGCCTTGCTGATCAGTCAACCAGTTAAATGATGTCGAAAGTGAATCGCCTCCCGAAACTCGCGCTCCATTTGCATACGGGACAAACACATGAAACTCTAATCTCTGTTGTGACGTGAGCTGCTGTTATTATGAAATACACAGGTCGGAGAAGACTTCCTCCGCTTGAAATATAAGTTTTAGAAATTGGCTGCTGTTCCTCTTAAAATAATGTGCGTATGAAAAAAATCTGGGCGTGCCGAGAACACAAACAGGTTTGTCAGACGTTGTTACGGCACTGACCTCATCAGTAATGATAGAGCTGAATGTCAACAAGTGTTCTCAGCATTTATTGTGGCTACAGCTGACTCAGAAACCATTAACACAGCATTTTATGACTCATGCACATTTAAAGGCAGACCCGAACACAAGGAACATGGAAACATTGGGAACTTTACGAGTTGTTGGTAGTTTGAATTAACCTTAAGATCCTGATGTACGTTACGTTTATGGCTCTTCTTAAAGTGTTGCCATCAGCCCAGCAAGAAACTTTCAGTACTTTACTCCAAGCACAAAATGGCAGCTAAAGAAAAGAAAACATTTCTTACTTGAAAATTAGAGTTTTAAACATAGATGCAGGATTTCAACCCTAGATTCCACACCATCCAATAACTATAACCACTAATCTTTTTTTATGCCTTATGTTAAAAGTAAGCACACATAGTTATTCCCAGTGAATGGATTTTTTTTCTTTTAATGATTCTTCGGTTGTCCTGATGTTCTTGGCCTTTCATTGATTATAAGGTGTTATATTCCAGTCTTTATCAGCAAAACAACAAGAAAAACAGACTTGAAATATTCCACTGTGTGTGTTTAATAAACCAATATGATTTGTGTTTTTTTTTTCTGGAATGAAACAAAAATATATATTCAACTTCTTTAATGTAAACTTGAAAAAATTACAAACCCCCTCCTTTCATGGTTCAGAGCATGTACAAATAGATTCAAATGGGGGTAAAACCACACATATTACAGTAAAAAGCACTAAATTAAACTAAATAAGGCACCTCTATGCCTGAGGCTGCTGAGATGCACAAATGTGTGTGCATAATAATGGGTGGTTGCTGGAGGCCATGGCAGCATACAGGCTGCTAGCTGTTGACCTCAGGGTCAAAGCAACATTGACAAGCAGAGGTGGGGACATGTTGCTGACTCTGCATTTTTACCTTGAGCTCGTCTCCTTAAGAGGAGAGGAGTCACGCATGTAGAAGTGTACACACAGGTAAACATTCCTCAAGTTCATTTGATGTTCATCTCTTTAACACACTCACACACTGTAGTCCACACAGTGTAACCCAGGTAAAGGGGGCAGTGTTTCCTATTGTGTGGGACATTGAAGTTAACAGAAAGAGAGCTTCCAGAAGAAGCCCAGCTCTGCATGTCAGCAGCTCCCCAAACACCTTGTGACCACCGACGTTCCATTGAGCCGCATCAATTCACAATACATTTACACGTTAGACTTCATCAGAATTCAAAAATACCCTGAATCTGAACATTTTCACTGATTCCAGGCCATTCAAAAAAAGATCCAAATTAAAATCCTAAAGTGGAAAGTGCAAGGCGCAACACTGAGTGTTCACCGAGGTTTTTGTTTTCAGTTTAATTCCATTTTTTAGTAATAGGGGACCAAAAACATACCATGGCTTTTACTAAAATCAAATGCGCACCCATTGCATGCTAATAAACGTGGCACAATACAAGAGGAGAGCCATATCCGATTCTCCTTGCTGAAAAGACAAGCAAGCCATATTGTGAGCTGTCTTTATGTGGCTCTGAAAAAAAACAGGTCTGAGTTCATCACCACACCCAGATTTTGGGCCCTTATGCCTAGTTTCTAGCTTTAATAACTGAAGTTGTTTGACGCTTTAGGTCCAAAGTTAACTTCAGTTTTGTTCCTGTCATGACACCTTGACACATTTATCTGTTTCGAGTCACCTTGTGATATTGTAATGTAGAGTTGTGTATCAACAATAAATTATATTTATTGTTGTAACCTGAGCTAGTGGGAGCATGTTGATATTAAATTGGAGGAGTCCAAGAATTGAGCCTTGTGGTACACCACATGTGATTTCTATCCACTCTGATAACTTATCTATTAAAACAAAGAAATCCCAGTCTACATGCAAACTTGTTAGTTCCTCACATTTTATTTTTCTATTCAGCCGTTTGTCACCATGCTCTCCTCAGCAGTAATGCATCTCTGTTCTCAGTGGGTATCTCATGAATTTCCTCAGAGCCGGGTCACGGGTGCCGCTGCCGACTCCGTCAACCCTCCTCTTTGACCTCATCTCCCCAACAAATAAATCTGCTCCTCGGACAGCCGACCTAACATAGGGAGGCGCGCACCGCGGCCCCGCAGACGTGTTGGGTTGACTTTCACCTTTAAAAGACGCGTTCAAAATGTCATAGCTCCCTGACATTTGCGGCGCGATGCGCGGATGCGCGCGTAGGCGGAACATGGCGGCCGCATGAAGCGAGGAGACGCGTAGCTCTGTTGCCACGTGCCCGTGGCCGCTCACCTCATTTTTGAACTGTCGCCCTGTGTCCTTCCCCTTGCTTGTGTTTATTAGATTGATAAGAGCAGTCAGTGCTGTCAGCGTCCTGTTAATCCTTATGCTTATGTCTGCTAAGCTGGCCCCTCCCGACTGGCACCTGGCTGCCCTCCCAGCAGCCCCCACTGCTAAACGGGGTTTTTGTTCCTGATGCCATGATGTCACTGTTCTGTCAGTGTTTGCTGAGCGCAGACCTTAGCCTCAGATTCACTCTATCCAAACAACATCAGAGTCCCGTTCTTTGCTGTGCTGGCCCATGTACCTCCCCTCTTGCTGGCCTGTTTTTAATTTTGAGCTGTGTTTGCTTTAGACCTCCCCCGTCTCATATCCTGGCTACACTGTGACCCGACTGCTCACATTCTTCTGCCCTGATTTCACACACACAACGGCGGTCCTGTATCGCTTCTGCCGAGCGGCATATTCACCTGCATTTGGACTCCCAGACGTTCACAGCTCCCTCGCCACTCGTTTGTGGCGATTATCCTGAGTGACGGCTCCCTGTAACGACGGCAGCTGTATCAATTTCTCTGATTACTGCGTTCGTTCAGCGGATGACTGCTGCTTGAGCCAGAAGGGGGAGTTGAGTTTTAAAACCGCAAGGAGCTCATACACATATCGCACACTGCAAAAACAAAATCTCACCAAGCGTTTCTGGTTGTCTAGTGCAAATATCTTGGTATTTCTAAAAAAGCCAAAGCTAGCTTACAAGTGACTTCAGCAAGATATTGGAGCTTGTTTAAGGTCTATAATACCTTAATATTCATGAAAAAGTATTTCTTCCACTGACAGATTGTTTTTTCATTTATACCAAGACATTTTTCCCATGTTATAACTAAAATAATCTGCCAGTGGAACTTCTTTTTATTGAGGAATTATTTTAGTTTGATTTAGTTTTGCTTGTTTGGATCCCCATTAACCATCATTCAAAAAACAAATATTTATTATAAAAGTAGTTACACACACTTACTATAACATTAGTATCATAGCATATGATAAATATACAATTATGGAAACAACACAAAGATGACTTGGCAAGATTTTACGATTTTGCAGAGCGCACACAGCAGAAACAGACTTATCTCATTCTAATCTGGATGTGTTTGTTGTTTTTTCTTGTCTTTTGCAGTGCGGCCATCAAAGCCAAAGTGTTCTGCCGATGGTACCCTAGAGGAAGGCAAAGACATTGTGCTGAGATGCTCAGCTGCAGAGGGAACGAAGCCGATGCAGTACAAATGGGAAAAAACCAGTGACAGCAAGCAGATGCCTTCTACTGCTGTGATGGGTATTTCACATTTTCACCAGCTGAAAATGACCGTCAGTCACCCCTTCGCTTTAATTTCCATCTGTAATCGGTGGGATGTTGTGCATTTGCCTCCTTATCAGACCCCGTGGAAGGAACCGTCAATGTGAGGAACGTTTCTGCCAGTGCGTCTGGTAGCTACCGCTGTGTGGCGAGCAACCGCGTTGGCTCAGAGGAGTGCATCCTTTACCTCCAAGTGACCCCACGTAGGTTCTCCGTTAACATTTTCTTAACTGTTCAAGGAGTATTGATTGTTTAGATCACATTTGATTTACAGTGTCTGACAAGGACAATTATATTTTAACATTAGACTGCCTTAGTTCTAATAACTTATTCTTTTAACAAATGAAAGCATGAGTTATATTTTCTCAGTCTTTTTTTCCAAAGATCATGAAACATTTTTGTCTCTAGTTTGCTCCAGTAGTTCAGCTGGAGTGAGGATAAAATGGCTCTTTGTACTATGTAGGTTATAGATTCCTGTAATAAAGCAATGAGAGGAGTTATAAGTGGAAGCACAGGATTAAATAGTTTTCAGATGTTCAACAGATAAACTGAAGACTCTAGCAGTTAAGATTCTTCTGAATGTATTAGTTGTTTTGGATTTTATTTACAAACATCAGAATAAAGGGGTTTAAACAGGAATATACGCCACACTTTTGTGAATTTTAGTAGATTTGTATTTAAAATCTAAATCTTTAATGCTTTTTTCTTCCACTTCACGACACTGAACCATAAAGTTCACTGGTACCATAACAAAATGCAGCGGAAGCTGAAGAGAAAGCACTTTGACAAGTGCAAAGGCTGGCTGGGCATTTTAAGCTTCTTTATGAAGGATTTCTCTTTCCATAAGGCAAAAGGTTTATCAGAGCATTGACCTGTTAATAACAAGAACGTGCACTTTCTTTTAAATCAAGAAAATCAAATATAAATTCTGTGGCGAAAGGTTTGCGTGTATTTGATTAACCTTAATTTAAAACTGAATGCACAGGAGATCCAGAAGATCAAAGCTCACGTACAGAAAACGATGTCGGCACAAAAATAATTGCATACCTCTGATGGTACTGTTGTTCTCAGTGAAAGGACACCCAAATGGAAATCTAATGCTTTGTTGCAATAGATCACAAAGTACTGATGTTTTATTAAAACTAGAATTCCAATATTGAAAAGCAGTATATGAAAAACGTATTGGTATTGAGCTCAACCTTTTTACCCACTCACTCACTCGAAGTTCAAACAGAAATTTTTGAATTTTTTTCTTTTTAATCTGAAGAGCAAACATATTTCAAAAACAATAAATAAATAAATATAAATATATATATATATATATATATTTAACCAAATTACTTGTACATGCCTTCTTTAAAACTCTTCTTCTTGTGTCTCCCAGCGCGCAACACTGGAGGCATCATCGCAGGATCCATCATAGCCGTTCTCCTGATCCTGCTCCTTCTCGCCATCCTCCTCTACTGTTTCTGCCGCGTTCGCAAGAACAAGAAGTACGAGAAGGAAATCTGCAACGAGATCAGGTACAGCATCCAAAACGCCCTGGAGGTTGGCTCCAGTATGGAGTTTAATTTGAACTGGGGGAATTGCCCAGTTCCTTGTAAAAGTGAAGGTTTGTGTATTTCACTGGGATTTAAAGTGATAGGCCACCACAAATCGGCATGTAACTGTGGAAGGAAGAGGATAGGTGGTTTTTAGAAAACATCTCAAACAAACCTGAATTCTTCCCACAACTATTGTTTCCACTTAAATTCAATAACACACAGTTGACTCTTTTTGCCAGTCAAGCCTCGCTCATACCGGACAATTTTTATTCCTGTTTTTATCCTGATTTCCAACTTCTGACAGCCTTAAGTACTCTCAATTATTGAGATGACTCTAAAGATGATATTAAGAAATATTCCTGTTGTGTGTGTGTGTGTCTAAAATCTGGGATATTCAACAAGTTTGATCGACTTAACCCAATGTGGCAGCGTATGTGGTGTGTCCCGGACAACAAACGACTGCACAGCATGTTGAATGTGACGGAAATATGGATAGGAATCCAAAGATACACAAATGACAAAGCCACTTCCGTGGCGCTCCAGAAGGTTTGGTGAACGTTGCGTCAAACTATCACCAGTGCTTCCTCTAAGTCGGCCATGTTTGTTTGCTCTGAACTCACATTTGCTTTCGAGTGCCACCAGACATCTATGTTGGTGGATGAAATCTGTTGGTGTGTGTAGAGTTGCTGTGAATCAGGCGTTGCGTGACTTGTGAAGCCAATTGACTTTCTTTTGGGTCATCATAACAAAACACTTAATTTGCAAAAACCATTGAAAACGTGAAGTTGGTCCGTCGCATAAAAGCAACTGAATTTTGTGTTTTATACATAAGAAATGTAAAGCAGGTCTCCAGCAGCCATGCAAAAAGCTTTTTCTCTATCAGCGGTTTATTTTTTATTTTTTTCACCTCTCCTCAAATAAACAGCTGTGGTAATCAGTTTGAAAGCTTTCTTTGCTCTGTGGATCCTGTGTCATGTCTGCCTGTGGCTGCCTCCCCACCACCCACCACAGATCAAGCTCTCTCCTCCTCCGGCTCGTCCACGGCTCCATCCGGCCTGTGGGCTCTCCTGCTATCACTCCGCCGCGGACTGAACCACCACGATGTGACACTGCTCACAGTGGAGGACAAAGAGGATTAGACCTCTGGTCCCGTCTCTCTTCCACACATTCGCCGACACGTTGCTGCGCCACGCTAACGGACTAAACAGGCTGTGGCCCCTGAGGCTATATTTGATTGAGCATTTAACTGGATTATTGCTGCTTATTAGTTGTTAATGTGGTGGCAGAGGGAGGAGAGGGCATAGTTGTACTTGGATTCTGTGCGCCACCCTGCAGGCTGTTGCACAGTGTTTGTGCTTTAGCAGTGCAGACATGGCTCCATCAGTTAGATTCGCCGTGTCCAATTATCTGTCTCCTTTTTATTGAGTCCAGCCATGTTTTACTCTTGAAATGACTCCTACAGGTTCTATGGCAGGGTTCCTGCACTCTATAGAAAAAAAAAATACCGTATCTACTTAAAAAAAAATCAAGTGGAATTCTTTAAAGATGCAGTATATATGTTTTACAAAAAAATCTTTTTTTCCTATTTGTTAAAAATGTCACCATGCATGAGTCATGATTTTGTGGAAAGATCCATCCAATTCGCCTCTCTGAGCTGCTATTGCCATCTGAAAAAATTCACCGCTGTCGACCAAACACAACCAGAGCCAGGAGGATCTTAGCGCTGTCAATCATGGCCGTATACTTGCTGCTAAATGGGATGGTGGAGATCTGTAGTCAATGGTGGCCATGCTAACTAGCATAAGCATTCTGCTATCGGGTAGAATCTGGAGCATAGCAGAGATCAAGGGGGTGTGAGCCTCTAATAACACAAAAATGATAGGCAGCGCTAAAACCCTCCCCTTGACTCTTATTGGTTATTTCTGACTGATTGGTTTATTTGGTGGGGTTTTTTTCACAGATTTTGTGTGTATATATATATACGGATATATATATAAAAAGCATTATTTTACAAAAGTTACTACAGCTTTAAGGTCAAAGCCAGTCAGAAACAGCCTTGTTTAAATATGGTGGCCATGTGAAATTTCAAAGGCCAGAACCATTGCTGACCAGAAAGAACTTCCTAAAGACTTTTAGGTGAATATTCTGTGGGCTATCAAGGCAAAAATTTTACTTTGGATGTATGTCCCATTACATCTGGTTGGAAAAAGAACATCAGCAATCAAACAAGGTGGTGGTGATGGTGATCTGAATTTCCTTTCCTGCTTTAGGTTTCCCATGTTTGATGGAACCGTGAATAATATTTGTCCTTTAAAAATGATGCAACATCTAAGTATTAATAAGTATTAATTTTCTCCAACATGCAAATGAATGTTTTGTCTGTGCTTCCTTCCAGAGAGGACGTCCCCCCTCCGAAGAGCCGCGTTTCCAGCACGCGCAGCTTCAGCCAGATGGGCAGCCAGCGTTCGTCCCTGGGGTCCATGTCGCCATCCAACCTGCACGAGTACACGCTAAAGTCCCAGTACTCCATGAAGTCCCAGTACGACAAGATCCCGTCCACCGAAGAGTACGAGCGCCCGCCGAGTCAGGTCCCGCTGCCCCCGCCGACCGCCGCCAGAATGGCCGGCCCCAACCTCAGTCGCATGGGGGCCATTCCCGTCATGACCCCGGCCCAGAACAGGGACGGCTCCATCGTCTAGAGAAAGAACCCTGGACAAAACGGCAGTTATGGGGAAAAAAAAAAATGAAACGGTTTTGCTCGACAGCATCTACAAAACGAAAAGGTCCTCCTATGAAGACATGGCCCTGCTGTGTTGGTGATGTGCTGTGCTGGAAATAGAGCACATTAACTTTTTATCAAATACAAAACGACGACAACAAAAAAGATAAAGAAAAAAACACTTATGCATTTAATGTCATGGATCTTCTCCCAGGAAATGATCGGTGTGGATATATAAAAGCAAGAATGGTCAATATACAAATTCTATTGTACATAACTGAATGCATGTTTTTTCTCTTTCTTTTTTTTTTTTTTTTACATTGATATCTTGCTGTAGATATACTGTTTAAAACACAATCAACCCCTTAGTTGGCACCCTGTACAGCTGTGTGCATGCCTCTGTGTGTGTGTAAACAGATGTCTGGAAAACTTACCATTTCTTTAAGTCAAAGCCTAACTCTTCCTTTACCTGTCCGGTTTTGATTGGTTGTGGCTTTCTGATTCAATATAATTTAATATAGCTGTTATTTGTTTCACAGTTCACTGAGAACAAACTGACTTCATCCCAGAAGAGACTCTACAAGTCAGCTGTTTGCTAATGAACTGTTGTATTTCTTTGACTTTACGTAGGGGGGGCTTTAAAGGGTCTGGATTGGCTGATAGGGAAAGAGAGGTTTTGGTTTCCATGAATTGTGTTTGGATGGATGATTGGTACTTGACCCAACTCTTAAAAAAAAATCCATTCTCCATTCTTCCTTTGAGGCTCTTAGGGGGGAGTACGGGTAACAGCTGGACAACAAGGTTCACTGAGCAATCAGCTTTGATTGTGCTTGACTATATAAAGCCCTGCCACCCCCACCACAACCCCTCTTACATCCATACACACCAAATTAACAGGACAAAAGGAGCATCCCTTGGTCTATCTGGCTGTGCATCGTGTGTAATCCCACGTATTTGTTGTTGCGCCACAAGGAGGCGGAACCTTGATTAACCTTCTCCCTGTGGTCGATACGAAACCGGTCAGAGCTGATGTAGCATTAATTTGAGATTTTAATGAAGGACGGTAATCACGGCTGGATGAAGGAGTTTCCCACAGAGCGGAATGCGGCTTACTGTTTCACTCTACATTAAAAGCTGACCTTCGTTTCCAATCTCGGCACAATCAGTCAGTTTAACCTACAATAACCGTGACCTTGCTACTCCTATCTGCCGTTCTCTAAAAGCCTAACTTATCATCTGGATCCCATCTTTTTGGACAAACAGTAGAAAGTGCAAAACTTCTGGTTGTTTTCTTCTTTGATGCCTTATTCTATCCTTGTTTTTGGCCTTACACTCTTCCCTTCGGTTAACCTCTTATTGATCCGATTCTTTCTTGCCTTGTTGCCTTAGTTGAAATGTTCAAACTGTGTTTTGTGCGTTCTTCATGGCCGTCGCTTTCTGAGGACTGTGACCATTGCTGTAGACATGGGCTGGGACAAACCCCACAGTTCCCTAGTTGGTACACAGGATTTTAAACTAAAAATATTCTGACAGTTTTAATGTAGCGGTGTCCAAAGTGTGGCCCTCAAAACAATTTTGTTCCTTTACATGGTTAAAACTTTTGCCAACAAAATAGAAAACAATTTGTTTTCTAGAGGGAATTTCAATCACCCTGACCTTTTGATGTAAAATAAATTATTTGAACAGTATGACAGAATTTTCATTGGCAATAGCAGGAAGCAGCCCATATGATACAAGGTTTCGCCTTGATTGGCTCTCATCTTTAAGATCTCAGTCTTTGTTTTTTAGCTTTTTGAATGAATTACAGCAAAGATGAATTAAAAAAATGTATGTACTTTCTGTTAGAAAAGAAATAGATTCTGGCTCCTTATTGAAGATACCTATTGAAGTACCAACAAAACTGAATGAACGAAGCATCAAATATCCTGTTTATAAATATATGTGTGTGTGTGGGGGGGTGAGACTGTGAGACACTGCAGATCTATGTGTAAAGCTGTGTGTATGTTCTGGTGCCACTATATGGAGTTTTATATTACTTATTCCCAAAAAGCAGCAAAAATGAGACCTTAGCTGAGCTACACAAAGCTATACATATATCTGTCATTTTTTGTTTGTTTTGTTTTGTTTTTTGGTGTGTGTGAGCAGCTGTATTTAATACTTGTTGCTAGGCAGGATGTGGCCCATGTAAAGATCAGCTGGTGAAGTGTACAGAGCTATATTGCTCCTCCATGCTCCTAACTTTAATGTAAACAACTACTAACAATACTAACAGTAGCTTTGAAATCTGTACTAATACCGTATGAAGACTCCCTTGAGGTGCACACTGTGTTCAAATCATATTTTCTCTCTGTGTATTTTTGTGCTGTATTTTTGAATAATAAAAGTCATTGAAATGAAGAAATAGTTACGTTTTTTGTTATTTTAAGGATGTTTTGGCTCCACCGCATACGTAAGAGCGTGGCGGTTGAATACCGGAAACGAGGGGAGGATGACGGAAGTGACGCGAGAGCGGAGGGGGGACACGTTATTTAGTTTCCCGGCCAAAACGGGAGTCTTGACAGGTCTGCTGGACTGGCCTTTATTTGAATGTAAAGCGGTTTGACAGAGCGGGAGGATTCAAACCTGTGACGGTCACATCGAATACGGAAGGCCTCCGTCCGTGGGTCGCGCGCTTCAGCCCTGCGTCATCGCCGCGACAGAACAAGTTGCTGTTAGCTTGCTGAAGCTAGTTAGCATCCTCCGCTCCGGCCGGAAGCGCGGCCTCCTGCAGCTTTTCCACTCTGATTCATTTCTGCTTCTCACTGTTGATGTTGACATGGGAGGATAGATCAATGCCTGATTATTAGCCGGTGGCTCCACTATGTGTAGCCCGTTGATAGCTAGTCAATAAAAAGACTAAAGCACTTAGTAGCAGTGCCAAGCGGACGTCCATTGCTATAATTGGATGTCAGTAATGGATAGGGCCCTGGAGCATTGATCTGTGACTGGTCGAAGTCTCTGCAGGTCGGCTCATCTGTGGTTCTGGTCTGAGATCCCACTAATGGATGTGAACAAACTTTAAACAGATTTTAATTAAAAAAAAACATGTCATGACCATTTCTGTTTTCTATTCTGTTGTAAAATATTTAATCAAGATAGAAATGAACTCATCAAAATGGGCTTCCATCTGCAGATGGTGACGTCAAATAAGAAAACTGATCAGTGTCAAATACAGATTTTAATCTAGTTATTTCTTCAAATCAGGGGTGATTCCAAAGGGTGGCCTTGGGGGGTCGTGGGCCCTGTAGATAAGCTTCCACTCAGTAATAAATTAAGGTCATACAGACCATAAAGTCATACATAAATATAAAACCCAATGACCACACATATGAATGAGCAAACATATATTTATATATGTATTTAATTTTTGGTGTGGGATTGTTAAATTTTCGGGGGGCACCACTTTTTCAAAAGAGTGTGCCTTTAACTGATCTTTTACTCTTGATTTTTCTATAAATCACTCTGAATTGTCTTTTACACAAACTGTGCTTTGCAAATAAAGGTACCTTCTCTTTTTTGCAACAAAACATTTGAACTATACGAGAACACGGAAGCAGATCACGAATACAGCCAGTGTAGACCGGGATGTCTGGATTTCTTCATCAGAGCGCTACAACAATCCTTTTGAGCCAAGTTGTTTCAGAACTAATTTTTCCACCAAGATCAGAGCTGCCATAATTGGTAAGATCAATCAATCGCCATGGTATGCTGCTAGGCAGGATGTGGCCCATCTACAGTATGAGCGATATCATTGGAAAGCTGCTGAGATATAATGTGTGGTAGGGTAGGCTGTTATAATTCAGACGTCACGCATTCACTCTCCGCATATTGATATCATGTTTGCCCAGTTGGATGATGGGCTGTAAATGCACGTATTGATGCTCCCACCTGAACGATACCAGTGGTTTCTCAGATACAAAAACTCGTAGATCAGTGGGGACATAATGACAGAGAGAAAAGTGGCAGGAAAGGATAATGCTCCCACTGCAATTTTAACACAATTTCCTGATATCCTGCAGCTATACGATTACAATAATTTCGTAAAAATCCCAAGAATTTTTCCTGTCGGGCTTCTGCATCATCAGCTACCTCAGCCCAAAATGACATAATTAAAAGGAGCCGTATCCTATAGTTAGCCACACCTTTCTTGCGATGGCGTTATTCCAGTCAACAGCAGTAGTTAATTTCATCGTTGTTGGAGTTCTGCCTGTGTGCAGTGCTACTGCTACAAGCATGATGTGACATTTAACAGGTTGTACATTTTCAGAACTAACTCAAATGCTCGACAGACCTCAGTTCTTTTGATGTGACGTAAACAAAGCTGAGTAAAGTAGTTTTTACTCAGTGCATGTAAAAAACAAACAAACAAAACAACAAAACTTTGAATTGTGTGAAATCCTGCTGGTTTTTTATTATCTGCACACGCTTCTCAGTGGGAAATAATACACCAGTAGATAGCATTTTAATGATTACACATTCATTACATTCATTAAGAAGACATTAGTGACGTGTTCCCCTGCATTACGTGCACATTACATTTATGGACTAAAATGCTGTTCCCTCATTGAGTTAATGTACAGTGAGTCATACATCATCCCTTTGTGTCCTTCTGTCCAATATCCATTTCTGACTTCTTCTATTTTATATATATATATATATATATATATTATTTTTACCTCGTTCTCATCCTGCCAGCGGAAGGGACAGAGTGGTGCTCTTGCGCTAAGCACCACAGGGATTTACGCCTGCCTCCTACTTCTGTCTCTGTCCTCTCTGCCTGGATAAGGTATTAATTGTTTGCACTGATAGAGAGAGAGGAGGGGGTTGGTGGTGGCGGGGAAATCGAGGTTCTCCACCAGGGTTTCTTTGGCAACCTTATCTGCTTGTACACAGTCTTAAGCCGGCTGCCGGTGGGATGATTCATCTTGTAAGGCGCGAATCGCTCCCCGCTCACAAAAGGAGGCCTCTAAAAGCACGGGTTTCATCAAAGTTGCTCTCCTCCGGCGCCACGTCTGCTGTCACGGGCGCTAAAGCTTTTCTGCTGTTTTCAGAAACCCCAGCCAGGTTGGGAGTGAGCTGAAGAGGGAATTCTGCTCGAACAGCGGAACAGTGCATACGAATGAAGGCCGAGCTCAATTAGTGCTATCTGCGCGGCGGTGCAGTCACAGTTTTGGCTCGGCGCTCGCAGCACTCTGGATGTCAAATGACAGATTACAAAATGAATGGAGGCTTTTTACAGCCGCCGTGGTTGAATGACTGAGGAGTTCGAAGCAATTTTCGGACATTTCTTTCTTCCTTTGGTCCCTTTAGTGTTTCTGAGAGTATAATCGGGATCCAGAGGAACTCCCGGAAGTGGGAAGATGCCTGCACACGCATCGTTTCCCTTTTGCACGATGTTTTGAATTTAATTTCTGTCACGCATAAGTGTGAGTAATTTTACTGTCCCCTCAGTAAATGAACTCAGTTTCTCAGAAGTGAGTGTACACTGTTGAAATTAAAGCTGACAGTCTGAACTTTAAATGCACAGTCACTGTGCCATGTCAAATGAAAAGGGATCGGGAGGAAGGAGACGTCTTGTCAACGTGTCACCATGCAAAAGTTCACGGTGCTCGGCCGTACGTCTCCCTGTGGACGGTCACCCCCGGTCTGTCTGCTGCTTTCCTCATGGAGCTTGTCCAGCTGCCCCCCCCGTCGGTCCCATTTGCTCAATAAGGAATCATATGTCAGAGGTCAAGGTGTACTCCTGTCGCAGCTTCGCATCACCACGTTGAGTCACTTTCACCACGTTTGGCTGACCAAAACGTGACTTTTTATGAGTGACCTTCCCCTCGGTGCTTCGGGGGGGAGATTCGTTTAGTCATATTTCCCCCTCCCCCCCCAAGATTCCCCTCTCTTTCTTTCTTTCTCTCTGGATGGTTTCATGGACCCGTGAGGTGATGCTCGTCTGCAGGTTTGACATTTTACCCCTGGCAGCGGGAACATCGCGTGTCATGAAGAAGGCGGCGGTGCCCTGCGAGGGGGCCACCCCCACGTGCAGGGAAATGAAAATTGCCCGAGTTTCTAGAGTTTGGAGCCAGGACACCTGCTTCAATTTCCTCTCTCATCACGTCTTTGATGCTTTCATCCACCTTGTGCTGCTACCACGCATCTTCCTTGGAGTCAGGCAGAGATTGCGCTCAGGATAGCTCTGCCGTCTGAAATGGGGCTTACTCAGATCAGCTGGGGTTTTTAAAAAACTTTTTTTTATTGTGATTTGTACTTTTAATCTGAACCTCTGCTGGTCTCCATTACAGGTGATGACACTTCAATGCCGTAACAGAGCGCACAGTAAAATGTATCCTTGGTGAGCAACAGGAACCCTGTTTCCATTTCCTCTCCCTCTGATGATTGGGGTCATTGTCCTTATTACCAGTGCCGATATATCACAGGTGTGCCTCTGAGCCATGCCTGTGCATCTATTAATGCACTCTGCTGGGGGAGTGGTTTATGCGTGTGGAGTCATCACCCAGAGTGGACACAGCCAGGTCAAAGGTCAGGGTGGTGATTTAACAGATTGGGGGCCATCCCTTTTCCCTGTCCACCAACCCAGGGAGAACTCGCCTCACCTCAGGCTGTTTGCAGAGATTAAATCCTCTCTCCATGCTAGACACGTAGCTCAGGCCAGCACCGCAAACAATATCCATCCCTTCCTGCAGTCAGAGGACCGAAACTCAGGAGGAGGCTAAAAGGTGGCTTCTAGTTATTATTGTTCTGGGTTTGTAAAGACAGTGTCTACGTAGAATTCTGACCATTGAATTTAACCAATTCCTATAGCTGGTTTGAACATTATTCACACTCTAATTTTGTGTCTTTTAGTTTCATCAGGTCATGGACAGGGCAGCTCTTGAAGAACTAATTGTAGTTTGATTTTCATATCGCTCTTGAAGCAATGGTTTCTCCAAAACACATTCATCTTTAATAAACACAACCTCTCTCCTTCCAGGACTTTGTATTATACTTGTATATGACTGTTTGTCAATTGTACCCAAGGATGAACCAGGCTTTGTGAAGGTGCAATGTTCTCTTCCTGACATCTTGGATGATTTCCTTTGAGTTTCTCATGATGTCACAGCTTTTGTATTTAAATGCATGCAGATATTGTGTTAAAAAAAAACAAACAAACTTAAAGAGCCACGATGTCTTCAACAGGAGTTTTACAGATTGTTTAAAGGGACAGTAATCTTTATTGTATGTAACGTTACCATGCTGAACAAAGCAATACAAATGATCTTGCACGTCATTCTACAGCTTAGCCAATTTTGGCAATCCAACCAGCCAGTGAGAAATAAACACGGTTTTAAACAGCGTGTATAAATA